GCTTTCAAATAGTGCTACGTACTTAGAGGGAAAATAAGTAGTAAGATGGGATAAGGAGCAGGAAGAAGCTGGGACACTGTGTAGGATGTTCTGGAACATTTCACTGAGCACTTCTATTCTGAACATGTGACAGTTGTGGGGAAGAGGACCCAGAGAGAGGAAACAGCACACACGAATGCCCTGAGATGAGAAAAAATCTGGTGTAGTTTAGAAGCAGGGGGAAGGCCATTGTGGGTGGAGCAGCAGAGCTGGGGGAGGATGAGTAAAGGAAAAGGTAGAAAAAGAAGAGGCTCAGATGATCAGGGCTTTCTAAGCCACGGTAAGGAATACAAATTTCCAGCGCAATGCACAGTAGGTGAGTGATATGATTGGATGTACATTTTAAGGTCATTCTAACTGCTGTGTCGGGAATGGATGCCAGCAGGACAGGAGTGGGGGTGGGGAGTTCAGTAAGAAGATACTTTTGTAATCCACGTCACAAGACAGTGAATTTGGACAAGGGTGTCATGCAAGATAAAGAAAAAATATATTTTGGAAGTGAAGCCAGTAGAACCTGCTTAATGGGAGTGAAAAAAGAGGACAATCAAATGTGACCAGTAAGGTTTTCAAAGAGCACTAACTGTAAAGTAGTTATTCTTTAGAGTGGGGCAAAAATCTGCCTCTTCGCAGCTGCCCTGTATTTGTTATAACCTTAGTCCTGTAAAAGAAGTTCACAATCAACTCTGAATGTTGCAAGACTCTTAGGTCTTCCCTCAGACCTCTCTCCTGCACCTAAATATTTCAAATGCTTTCAATCATCCTAAGATGGGTTTAGCTCACTTTATTACAATGGATGCTCACCTCTGAATGTCTCTTGTTTTCATTATGTTTTTCTATGCACAGCAATTCAAGAACAAACAATTCCATCACAAAGCAGGATATGCTTTCCACCTTCTTCATCCTAGACAATAGCTTTGGGATCAGCACCTCATAATCATTGTCCCTGAGAGACTAACAGGGAAAATAAGATGAGGACTTAGGACAGGATAGGCTACGACCAAATGAAGACTGTTAGAAAATTATAAGTGGTCAAATGGGGCCAAGTTCAGCTCTGGATATGGCAGTTAAGAAGAGAGGAATTTGGAGGAATTTGAACAAAAACTTTGAATAATGGGAAAGATGCTGACAGGTAGCAGTGGTGGAAACTGGGGAGAGAAAGAAAATGAACAAAACAGAGAATGAGAACAAGCAAAACAGAGACTGAGAAAGTAAGGGACAGCATGAGCAAGGCATGGGATGTCGTATCCATCCGCTGTCACATGAGGTGTGTGGGAACCAGCGAGCAAGGAGGTGGGAGAGGTAAGGTAGGGCTGAGCTATAGGGGCCATGAACGGGACAATGAGAACTCCATGATGCTCAGTTTGTTAGACAAAGGGACAATGCTGAAGACTGGGGACATTGTTGTTGATGTTTTTAAACGAGTAGAGAGCATTTCACTTCAAGATGACTCTGGTAGCAGACTTCTTTAGGTGAAGAAAGACAGGGAGAGAGAACACTGAATAATTTCTACAGTGATGAGGGGTGAAACAAGGCCTTTATGGAGGGGAAGGAAGGAGAGGTACAAATGCCAAGGTAGAGTGGGAATAAAATTTCCAGAGCTTCCTAACTGCTCAAGCAGAAAGAACAAACATGCCTTCTCACAAAGATAAAATGTGATTTTACATGAAAGCATCATTCTTCCAAACATACCTTGATTACAGAATTAGATATAAGTTTTGACATCCTCGCTATCACACATGCCTTTAAACCATACAGAAAGCCACGAAAATATCCTGCGAAATCACAAGGTTTGGGCCAGGAGAGGACTGGTAGGAAATGAAATCTTATAACGGAAATAAAAGATATCTTTAGACTAATATAATGTCAGTGACTATTTTAAATCCCCAAAATACAAGAAATACCACTGAAGTGGGAAGTCAGATGGAAAACACAGCGTGGGGTCTCCCCCGTGGCTGAAAGTTCTTCATGTCAGTTTTTAAATGTTATAAACAGTGTGCCTTCTATGTTCTGCGGAGGCCAACTGGTGTCCCCTGCACCCCACCAATTGCATTTGTTAAATACTGAGTGGGGAAGAGGGGGAGGAAAAAGTGGACAAGAAGAAAAAGAAGGAGGTAGAAGAGGAGGAGGATAGAGAGAGAAAGAAGGAAGAAGAGGGGAGGCTACCTTAAAATGTTAAAATACAGAAATAGACTTGGCAGCTAGGACAATGTATTTCTATGTTATGTTAAAAAAAAATCATCTTATGTCTTTGCTTTTCCTTTGGATTTTATCTTTTAATGGTTAGTACATTTCCCAGATGACTTCATCCAAATAAAAATGCTGTTAGTACTATTTCATTATAGCTTAAAAAGTATATTATTAAAACACTCAGAGGTTATACTAAAGCATGAACAGAACCAGATTCACCTATAATTTTACCATTCAGAGATAATCAATGTTAATATTTTATTTTTATCCTTCTGAACATTTTGTTATGTGTATTTTTTCAAGTAAGAATTAGCTTCTCTCTCTCTCTCTCTCTCTTTTTTTTTTGGAAGTATTAATTTGAGAGAGAGAGATAGTGATAGAGAAAGAGAGAGAGAGCACAGAGGCAGAGGGAGAGGGAGAAGCAGACTCCTGCTGAGCAGAGAGCCCGATGTAGGGCTCGATCCCAGGACCCTGAGATCATGACCTGAGCTGAAAGCAGATGCCTAACCAACCAAGCCACCCGGGCACCCCAAGAATTAGCTTCTCTTTTGTGCCCTTCTTTATTTTTGACATAATACCTATTGTCCTCTTCATTTCTTCCCTTCTTGAAATGTTCAGTCCTAAAGTCTGCCAGATGAGCAGAGCAAAGTTAAGCATCAGCCCTGGGCAAGAAGGACACACAGGGATGAGGCGATCCAGAGCTCAAATGCAAAAAGAAGTGGAAAGTGCCTGCGTAGGAGGCTGGCCAGGTGGTGGACAATCAGAACTTGGTGGCGTGAGGAGCACATCAGCTGCTGGGGGATAGCCTGGCCCAGGTACCAAAGAGTAAGCCAGCAGAGTCAGAGGCCAAGCCCATGGAAAAAGGTCTCTCAGCAGCCTGAGGTAGACTGTGGGAACCTACTGGAGGTGAGGAGGATGCCTTCATAGAGGGGTGTCAGGGGCCGCGCTGCCAGGGGACACATCCTTGTGGGGTCTGGCCCTGCATGTGGTACCTAAGCCCAAATGGGCTGTGAGGAGGGTGGATGTGTGTGGAGGAGGGTTCCTGGGGCGGTTGAAGCATTCAAAAGGAACTTTTTTCTTTTTTTTTTTTAAGATTTTATTTACTTATTTGAGAGAGAGAGAGAGAGAGAGCATGAGAAGGGGGAGGGTCAGAGGGAGAAGCAGACTTCCTGCCAAGCAGGGATCCCGATGTGGGACTTGATACCGGGACTCCAGGATCATGACCTGAGTCGAAGGCAATCACTTAACCAACTGAGCCACACAGGCGCCCCACAAAAGGAACTTTCAAATCCAATAATAGCAAAGCTCTTCCTTTATTAAACATTTTTATAGCCCTCAAAATAGTAGTATAATATTCTCTCATGTTTTTAATTTTTCTCTTAAGTATTTAATATTTTTATTATTATTGTGAATAATGTGTTTTACACACTGTTTCTTTTTGGCATATAGAAAATGTATCTGGTTTAATACTTACTTATAATTAATCACTGAGATGAACTCTCTTAGTTTCTTAGTTCTAATGTTTTTAAATTGATCCTCTTAGGTTATCTTAGGTTTTTTTATTCAAATTAAAATTGAGCAGTTATTAAATCTTGTTAATACACAGTCACTTGTGTCCAATCGCAGATGGGGGAAAGACAAAAAAATTTTAAATGGCCATTAATTAGTTAAATCATTGATTCATTTATCAAATATTTACTGAGCATATATTATAGCCCTTGCCAAGTTATCTAATCTGGATAATTCTGTTTTTCTCAGCTGTACAATGTAAATAATCAAAGAACCCATCCAAGCATTAAATGAGACAAATCAGGCAAATTGCTCAGCAATGCACATGGTGAGTACTCAATAAACAGCAGCGGCGATGACATACACTAGAAGCTTCCCTTCCCAGTGCTGCATCAGTTGAGACAATGGTCAAGCTCGTCTGTTTTTTTAAGTCCAATATTTCTTTTCCTGCCTCCCCTCTGCCATCTGGAGAATGGCCCTAATTAACTTGAAAGAAAGAAAGGACTTTTCAAGAGGGGCACCTGGGTGGCGCAGTTGGTTGAATATCTGCCTTCCGCTCAGGTCATGATCCCAGAGTCCCGGGATCGAGTCCCACATCATGCTCCCTGCTCAGTGGAGAGCCTGGTTCTCCCTCTGACTCTGTTGTTCCTCCTGTTTGTGCTCTCTAGCAAATAACTAACTAAACAAAAATCTTTAAAATGGAAGGAAGGAAGAGGAATTTATGAGAAACTCCTAAAATCTATTAAACTTCCTTTAGCTGTAATCCCCTTGCCTTCCATTTCATTTGTAATTTCTGAAGGCTTCTATATACAACAGGCCCTTAGTAAACACTGACAGATTTCAGACCAAATTGGAAAACTAAAAAACCCTGAAAAGGTCCCACTGCCCTATGAAGGTATTAGCATGTCAGGCTACTTAATGGACAAGACAGTTCCGGGACGAAGTCTGAGACAACAATGAAACTAAACTCATGCCTGTGAAATCTTCTGAGCTATAGTAAAGTGTCATATATAATATTATGATTAGAAATACAAGTAAATAAATGAATTTTAAAATTTTGAAAAAAAGGATGCAAGAATCATCTTCCCCTCCCAAAAACGTATGCCGCAACATTCAGAAGCGTTTGCTGGTCATTGCTCTTCAGCTTAAGAGAAACTTTTCTCATTAAGTCGTAAACTGGAAAACTGCTTGTGTTGGTCACGAGCCAAAAGTCCGATTTCTTTCATGAAATGCAAAAGTAAGTGAAACCCGACATTCTGACTTACCCACTTCTGCCAGAGTTCTGATACAAGACTCCACGGAGGACTTCTGCGCTGGGTTTGGCCAGGTACAATTGTAAATTCTGAAGGCAGATTGCAGCAGCTGAATAAAAACTGGCTGATGTGTCTGAAAGCAGAAAGGAGTATGCAAATAGGCCACTAAGCCATTAACACTCCGAACATGGCATCTATGCATTATCAAAAAGGCTCATCGAGGGGCACCTGGGTGGCTCGGTGGGTTAAAGCCTCTGCCTTCGGCTCAGGTCATGATCCCAGAGTCCTGGGATCGAGCCCCACGTTGGGCTCTCTGCTCCGCAGGGAGCCTGCTTCCTCCCCTCTCTCTCTCTGCCTGCCTCTCTGCCTACTTGTGATCTCTCTCTCTCTGTCAAATAAATAAAATCTTTAAAAAAAAAAAAAAGGCTCATCGAAATAAAACACAATCCAGTCTTTTTTGAGCAGTGGCACCATTGACAGAATATCTCATTCAACAAATATTCATTATGTACCCACTTCGTGACAGGCACCATGCCAGATGCTACAGAAAATCAATTATTTGCATTTTAACTACAGACTTAATCAGAAAAAATTTGGCATTTCTTGAAGCCAATGACTTGAACTTCAATATTTTTTAAATAATCTCTGGGTTATTTCTAAGTGTAAGTAGAGCAGGTGTTCTGAGTTTGTTTGAGTGACTGCATGTTTTGGTTTCATATGATGTGCAAGGATAGGCGACAACAATTCTGACCTACAGAAACAATTTCATATGGTTCTAATAGTTTAAACATTTTCCCTAAAGAAATTATAATTGAAAATGAAATTTTTATAAGGTTAATACACAGCCACTATAGAATTTTGGGGAACCACAGAAATGAAAATCTACAATAATCCTGCCATGTAGAGATAATCAGTATCAACATTTTGAAGATATTCACCTCCTGAGTTTTTCTGTGTATATAGGCATATATGTCCTTTACACATACAAATTTGGATGATACTCTAATGCAATGCTGGGGACTGTTTCACTTAATATTACTTCATAATCATTTTCCTTAGTCATAAATATTTCTTTTAAAACATGATTTCCATTTGCTATGTAATAAGCCACTCTATGGACAAAAATAATTTATTTAGCTATTTCCCTATTTGTGGTCATTTAAGGCTGATGTCAATTTTTAAGTATTAGAAATACTTGAAAATCTTAGTATACAAATTCCTGCTAATTCTTTCAGGATAAATTACGAAGGTGGAATTTATTGAGTCAAAATGCCTATCCATTGAAAAAATCATTTATTGCAACACTTGGCAAACAGCCAATATACTGATATGAATGTTTCTGTTATGCTTGGAGGGAAAATAGGAATAATTCAGTTTGAAGATGGGGCCTCTTTATTAAAATAAAGCTTGGTAAACTCAGAAAGGGGCAGAACAGTAAATAATATGAGAGAAAACTGACCTTCAGAAGTGTAGGAAATGACTTCTTGACCATGTTAAAGTTTTTCTTAACTCAAATAAGGTAAATTCTGTGTCACAGAATGTGCCTGTGTTTTTTAGTTTACATTACCTGGAGGCTGGTACTGTTGTCTGAAAAGGGGGAATTAAAGAAGCCGCTCACAATGTTCATTATTGACTCAGTGACACACTTCTCCAGGAAGGTGTCTGCGTGTTTCCTGTCCGTGGTTGTATTGCAAACCTGGAGAGAAAAACTGAGTAACTCAATATGCAACTACCACATCTTTGAATTCTAAATCAGTACTGAAACCTTGCAAAAATTGCTTTGAAATTGTTAACTATAACATCTCTTCTGCTTTTGAAAGTTGCTTTGAATACATACATTTCCGCCAAAAATCTATTAAAATTTTATCATTCTTCTGTAGCTGTTCCATTCAGTTTGGTTGTCATTTCATCTTGGACGAGAATTCTTTTGCAAATGCCCCCAGTCCCTTCCTCCTGCTCTGCTTCTCCATACTTTTGCACACCAACCTTCTCCTTCTGTCCCTAAGCATGGCTTTGCTGGAAAACGCCCTTTCATTCAATGTGAAATGTGAGGAAATCAAGGAAGAAACAGTCATTATAAGAAAGTGGTGAATGGGGCGCCTGGGTGGCTCAGTGGGTTAAGCCACTGCCTTCGGCTCAGGTCATGATCTCAGGGTCCTGGGATCGAGTCCCGCATCGGGCTCTCTGCTCAGCAGGGAGCCTGCTTCCCTCTCTCTCTCTCTCTGCCTGCCTCTGTCTACTGTGATCTCTCTCTGTCAAATAAATAAATAAAATCTTTGAAAAAAAAAAAAAAAAAAAGAAAGTGGTGAATGTAATTAGCAATGCTTTGTATCTCTACATATTTTCACTTATAATACCTGGCCCAGATTGGAGGATGCCAAGAGAAGACATTTGGCAAGGAAAGTAGAAAGCTAAAAGAAGATAAAACTCTTTCCAACACTTGAGACCTTTTCATCCATAGCATAGATTCGTGGGCAAGGAAGCACAGAAGTGAGCCTTTCCCTGCTTCCTTTCCTGTAGGGCTGAGCACGAAGAGATGATACTCACACTAAAGATAAACCAGAAAAGAACACAGGCCTGGTTCCTGCCCTGATTTTCATATGTGATTAAATGAGGCAGAAACTGGTCATTTTGTGAAACAAGCCACAAATTTCCAAATACATCAGGGTAGACAAATTGCAAAAGCAAAGATACATGATTAAAAACAAATGAAAAAAAGCTGGGTAATAAAAAGAAACATGAAGATAAAAACAAGAAGAAAAGAAAATGGGAGGGCAAAGCACAGGGTGTGAGAAAACCCTGCAAAACTGGGGCAGAATAACAACATTTCAATATTCACACAGTGACGGTGGGGAAATGTGGTGGCCAGATGTTCCAGATGTTCTTAGACAATCCAAATTTCTACATCACTTCTTTTTCTTTTCAGTAAGGTGATTAATCAAAAGAATAAGTAACTATAATTTAATCTGATATGGCTTTAACCAACTGAGCCACCCAGGCGCCCAAATCTGATACGGCTTTAAAAACCTTTCACACAAATAAATTCACAAAAGGGAAAAATTCCCATCTCAAATGTGTGTCCTGATGTTTTAGTTGGGGAAATAACAGTATTTGCTAAATGCAGGTAAAAGAAAGAGCACAGGGATTGCTTTGCTTCTAAATCACTTCCCATCAGGGCTCTTCATTTTTTCCTCATCTATGAAGTGACACTTCCCTGACTGGGTTGTATTAGAACTACTCCCACCGGTACTGCAGGGACCAGTGCAGTTAAAGGAAATAAATGATGTCAAATTATGCAATCTTTTAAGCTAGTGTTCCAGCAGGTAACATAGTGCCTGGCATATACAACATGTTCAATTAATGTCTGGGGCATGAATGAATCAATTCATTTTAAAAATGAAAGAATAAGAAAGAACAGAAAGACTCATGTTGTTTCAAGGTTCACTCTGGGTTAGGATGTATTTGTGGAACATCGGGACTAAAAATTGAACATGATCCCAGCACTAATATCAAATTAGTTTTCCCATGATGGATATGACATAGGATTTATTTCATTTAGTATCTTTCTAGCACTGGCTTTGATATACTGAAATTTTCAGATTCACAGGATAAAAATATATTACAGTTGAAAAGGTAGCTGACTCAATCCACCATAACCAACCCCAATAGCCTTCTTCCTCATCCAGTGACATTTCACACAATTGTGGGGGGGGGGTGCTCTACAGACCTATTGCAGCACCATATTGAATTACCTGCAACTGGACATTTGCTAAAGAATCACTCAGAAATTTGTGTTAGTGGGTTAGTATAAAGACTTTCCTCAAAATCCTAGGTTTACAAAACTACGTGGAACCTATTCCTCAATTCCTTTGAACAAGAAATTCAGTTTTCAAGATATTTTTTCTTCCCCATACAAATGATAACATTTTTGTTCTTCCAAAACCTTGCAGCCTACATTGCAATATCATGGACAGGCAAAACATGTAAGAAGCCACTTTACTTATTACAATCTTTTAAAAACTTTCCAGGAAAGGGGCATCTGGGTGGCTCAGTGGGTTAAGCCTCTGTCTTCGGCTCAGGTCATGATCTCAGGGTCCTGGGATCAAACCCCGCATCGGGCTCTCTGCTCAGCAGGGAGCCTGCTTCCCCCTATCTCACTCTACCTGCCTCTCTGCCTACTTGTGATCTCTCCCTCTCTCTGTCAAATAAATAAATAAATCTTAAAAAAAAAAAGCCTTTGAGGAAAAAAAGAACCCCCAAAATAACAATATTTCTTTATCCATTTTTCTTTTATTTATTTTAAATGCCTCATTCCCATATATTGGAAATGATCCCAAAAAATGATATCACATTAAACTAACTTTTTTGTGTATTACATGTATTTTCAAAGTTTTGATCTATTTGCATATATTATTTGCATACCATTATCTCCTATAAAACATGTCCCCATGTGATTCTCTAAACATTTATTTTTAAAGGTTATGTAATAAGCACTGGGTATTATATGCAACTAATGAATCATTGAACACTATATCAAAAACTAATGATGTACTATATATATGCTAATTAACATAATAAAAATAAATAAATATAGTTGGAACTTCGAGCAATTACAAAAAATAACACAGGGGAGGAGTCAAGATGGTGGAGAAGTAGCAGGCTGAGACGACATCAGGTAGCAGGAGATCAGCTACATAGCTTATCAAACCATTCCAAACACCTACAAATCCAACAGGAGACTGAAGAGAAGAAATTCTAAAAACAGAAAATCGGCCACTTTCTGAAAGGTAGGACTGGCGGAGAAGTGAATCCAAAGTGACGGGAAGATAGACCGCGGGGAGAGGGGCCTGCTCCCGGCAAATGGCGAAGCAACGGAGCACAAAATCAGGACGTTTAAAAGTCTGTTCCACTGAGGGATATCACTCCAGAGGCTAAACCAGGGTGAAGCCCACTCGGGGATGGCATGGCCCCAGGTCCTGCGGGGTCACAGAAGGATCAGGGGTATCTGAGTGTCACAGAGCTCGCAGGTATCAGAGCAGGGAAGCTGGCTATAGAGACAGAGCCAAAGAGTGAGCTCTCAACTCGGGGTTACCTTAAACTGTAATCCATGGCACAGGCCACTGTTCTGTGAGTGGGGTCCCCACAAGATCCGGGGAAACCCCCCTGGAAGAGCTCAGGGATCTGCAGGGTTCAGAGACTCCAGGCAGAGTTATGTGCCAGAGACAGAGATGCTTGGTCACAGGCTGGGTGAGGTCAGATCGCGGGCAGAGGCCAGGGAGACAGGAGTGATTGAGCGTTTTTCCCTGAGGGCGCACTGAGGAGTGGGGTCCTGAGCTCTTGGCTTCTCGGGGCAGGAGACTGGGAGGCCGCCATTTTCATTCCCATCCTCCAGAACTCTATGGAAAGTGTTTAGGGAACAAAAGCTCCCAAAAGCGAACCCGAGTGGATTACTTAGCCTGGCCTCTGGTAAGGGCAGTGCAATTCTGAGAATCACCACAACAGGCACCTCCCCCAGAATATCAACAAGAAATCAAGCCAAGACCAAGTTGACTTACCAAGAACAGCGGAATTCCAGAGGAAGAGAAAGCAAAGCATGGAATTCATGGCTTTCACCCATGATTCTTTAGTCTTGCAAAGTTAATTAATTCTAATTTTTTTTTCTTCAGCTAAATTTTTTTGAACGTTTACCTTTTCCTCTTTTAACATTTTTTAACTAGTTTATTTTAACAATACCTTTCATTAAAAAATATGTTTTGAAACTTCATTATCATACTCATATTTTATCCTTCATTGTATCGAACTTTATTTTTTGTATACACATAGGGTTTTTTCTTTTAAAAAATATGGGGTACAACTTCTTCTAATAGATCAAAATACACCCTAAATCTAGCACCGGGCTTGCTCGAGTCTCCAGCCTGAGCAAATTCTCTCCACTTTCTTTTTCTTTATTCTCCTTTTTTAGAAATTAAAAAAATTTTTTTTCATATTTATAGTCATATTCCATCCCTTCATTGTGTTTACCCTTATATGTGTTTTTCATTCTTTAAAGTTTTGGGAGGTAGTTTCTTCTAAGAGACCAAATTACTCCCAAAATTAAGTGGGTGACCCTGTTCTAGTCACCAGTCTAATATATATATATATTTTTTTTCATTTTTATATTTTTTCCTTATTTGTTTTCTTTTTAAAATTTTTTTCCCTGAACTTCTTTTTACCCCCATTTCTCCCCCACCCTCGCGATTTGGGGTCTCTTCTGATTTGGTTAAAGCACATTTTCCTGGGGTCTTTGCCACCCTTTTAGTATTTTATTTGCTCCTTCATATATTCTTATCTGGACAAAATGACAAGGCGGAAAAACTCACCACAAAAAAAAAGAACAAGAGGCAATACCAAAGGCTAGGGACCTAATCAATACGGACATTGGTAATATGTCAGATCTAGAGTTCAGAATGATGATTCTCAAGGTTCTAGCCGGGCTCGAAAAAGGCATGGAAGATATTAGAGAAACGCTGTCCGGAGAAATAAAAGCCCTTTCTGGAGAAATAAAAGAACTAAAATCTAACCAAGTTGCAATTAAAAAAGCTATTAATGAGGTGCAATCAAAAATGGAGGCTCTTACTGCTAGGATAAATGAGGCAGAAGAAAGAATTAGTGATATAGAAGACCAAATGACAGAGAATAAAGAAGCTGAGCAAAAGA